CCGCCCCGCCCTCAGGCCCCAGTTCACTCCGCACCACGCAACCTAACCCGCGGCCACCGCTCGGACGCAGCGATTGGCACAGGACTCGGAGGGAGGCCGAACTTTCCCTCTCCGTCCCTCGCCTCCCGAACGACTCCACCAATTGGAAGTTCCGCTCTCACCGGGGACCTGGGCCCGGCGTTGACTGGCTGCCGCGTCGGTCGCTCCGAAAGCTTTTGTTGGGAATTCTAGCAAGACTGGTTGAGGCGGCGGATCCCCACCCGCCTTTCCTGGGAAACCACGTAGAGGCTGGGCCGGGGCGCGCGCGTGGGGACCCTCCCCGGTCCTTGCGGATCCAGTGCGCCGAGTGGGACGCGCCCCGGGGGTCGTGTCTCGGACACCCGGCGGAGAATCCCGTTTCGCCTTTTAATAATTCCACATACCGACCTCTGTTCTTCACACTTTGAACTCACTGGTGGAGGCCGCCCAGGTTGCCGGCTCTCTCCCCCAGATCCTTCTGCTTCTCTTTAGGAGAACTAAGTAAGTATGAGCGGGAGGGGGTCATAGTTGTGACTGCCTCGTGGGGTTGTGGGGGAATACAAGCGAGTTGGGATAAAGCGTTGGTTATATTAACTAACTGGCTGGCACTAACGAGGTTCAATCCTATGCAGCAGCTGTTTTTGTTGATGCAAAACGGTCCGAATCAAAGCATTTCTCACTTTGTGCTCTCTGGTTTCTGTTTTCGAACCATATACGTGTATTATTTGTTTTTTAAATGTTATCAAAGGTTATGACGGGATGTGTATGTGTTGGGGAGGGAGGAGCATAACTCTCTGGGTTTTGTTGTTGTTGTTAATCCTCCCCCAAAGATATTTTTCCATTGATTTTTAGAGAGAGTGGAGGGGCAGAGATAGAGAGAAACATCGATGTGAGGGAGAGACATCAATTGGTTGCCTCCCCCACGAGGCCCCAGACAAGAGTGGAGGGGCAGAGATAGAGAGAAACATCGATGTGGGGGAGAAACATCAATTGGTTGCCTCCCGCACGAGGCCCCAGACCAGGGCCAGGGATCGAACCTGCAACCGAGGAACCTGCCCTTGACCGGAATCGAACCCAGGACCCTTCAGTCTGAGGGCCGACTCTCTAGCCACTGAGCCAGACACGCTAGGACGTAACTTTCTGTTTTTAAGGAATAAATCCTATTTTTAAATAACTCTTAAGGGTTGAATAGAGACCATTTCCTGTGTTTTAACTGAGCCGTAAGCACTAACCATCGCCTCTTCTCTACAGGGGAGGAAGCAGGCTCAGCATGACAGAGCACTAGCTGGCTATCATCCAGCCAGTGACGGGCGACGCTGGGACTAGAACCCAGGTCTGTGCCCCACAGAGCCCGCTGGTGTGACCACTGCACCGCCCTGCTTCTCTGGTCGTGGCTGCCAAACTGCTCCTGCTGTAGCCCCAGGAACCATCAACTACATTTCTGGAGCATTCAGCCGACACCGTTGCTAACACTAGACTAATAGCATAAATCTAGCTCTTCCCCACAGGCCCTGCCAGGCCATGAAGCACCAGCCAGGTGCCAGGCATCACTTGCTGGCACACCCGAGAGGCTGCTGTTGGGAAACTTTATGTTCCATCTAGTGCCGGCAGATTCTCCCCTCCAAACGGACCGTTCAGAGAAAATGGTCCAGGAGTGGGAGTGTCTTCATTTTCTTTTTTTAAGATTTTTTAAAATATATTTTTATTGATTTCAGAGAGGGAGAGGGAGATAGAAACATCAATGATGAGAGAATCACTGGCCAGCTGCCTCCTGCACCACCCACAGGGGGGACTGAGCCCACAACCTGGGAATGTGCCCCGACCAACCGGGAATCCAACCGTGACCTCCTGATTCATAGTTTGACACTCAACCACTGAGCCACACCAGCCGGGCTTTATTAATTTTTAGAGAGAGAGAAACATCGATGTGAGAGAGCCACATCAATTGGTTGCCTCCTACACCTGTTGGGGCAGGGAACCTGCAACCCAGGTATGTGCCCTTGACCAGAATCACACCCGCGCTCCTTTGGTTTGAGGGCCGACACGGACACTTTTAAAGAGTATCCGCCAGTATCTGTCTAAAGTCTCTCAGTTCAGGTTTGTCTTATGTTTTCTCCTGATTGGACTGATGTGTTTTCGTAAGCTGCGCCCCAGGCCCTCGCCACCCCACTGTCTGCGTCCAGGGGTTATGCACATATGCAGGCAAGGAAAGACCAAATAGTTGAACAAAAAGTGCGCCCAGTGCTGTTACCGCTTAGTGAACTACACGGGTTTTAGGAGCTCTGAGCCAGGACCTGGAGGCAGCGACTCAATATATGACTTCCATTATTTCACAGGACACAATTCAACCCACAGCTCTCCGCTCGCAGGAGGCGGCTGCGGGAGCCATATTTCTGCCAGGACAGCTGGGAGGTCCAGGGAAGTCCCATTTCTCAGGGAGGATGCCTTCGGTAAACTTCACATGATTCAAACCTTTGTAGTCCCAGAACCTCTTTCCCCCACAGGAATGACTGTAAAGTAAGTGATCAAATGCGGTTCGCACAGCTCGTAAGTCCACAACCGTCTCCCACATTTTTTGCTGCTTTGTATCGTTGCAGCATCATCTCTGCCCTCCAGCACTCTCCTAAGTTAACAGCACCACCTGTCGTGGAGGTAGTTCAGTCTGCATTGTGTTTCGTCGGGTCCAATATCCACACCAAAGATATCCATTTGGCGGGGGAGTGTATTTTCCAGCACTAGCATCACTACCTTGTGAATGCATGGATAATGTTAATATATCTTTTTAAAGTGGTTTATTATGACAGGGAATGGCAAAATGACAGCTGCATAGCCACAGAAAAAAACACAAAGGAACAGTTGCTAGAATCCAGAGTATGCTCAACAGCTTTGTGATTTGCTCCAGAATAATGTCACAATGTGGTCATTTGTTTTCCGGCTACAGTGGCGCCGCCTTGTGGCAGTGGCATAAACACAGTTGATAATTCATTCCATCCCCAGGACGCTTTGACATTGCCCCATCCCTAATGATTTCCGATGTAACCGCATTTTTTTTCTGACATTTCTGTGATTTCCGATGTAACTGAGGAGGGGCACTTTGTTGATGGTTTTATGTGACACCGTGTCAAAGTCGCATAATTCATACTGTATAGGATGCATACCACAGAGAGGCCAGGAGTCGGCGGTGTGGCTCATGCCCCCGCTGAGACAGCAAAGCTGTCTTGCCCCTGCCCCTCCTGTTTGGGGTCCCTCCTGTTTGGGGTCCCACAGGAGCCGGGCAAGGCAATTCTGAGAGCGGCGGAGCCCGAGCATAAAAGCCCATCAGTTAGGGGCCGGTGACACCACCAGAGCTGGGTAATTTGTCTCTTGGCTATTCCGCAGCCCATTCAGTGATGATCTATTTGTCCTCGAGAATAGATAATGGCAGGTCTGCCCATATTTTACACTTAGTAACCGGCCTGCTCCTCTCCGCCCGGCGCTGCCCATCTGTCTTTGTCCCTGGCTCTTCTCATTTCATTTCACAAATTGGGCAACAGGCCTTGGCAATGACTTATGAAGGCAGATTCCGTGCGGGCAGCTTGCTCTGGGAAGGAAGAGAGGGAGAAGAGATGGGTCAGCTCGCTGCAGAGAGGGGAGGGATGGACAGGTGCAGGGGAAAGAGATATCATAGACTCGGTGGTGGACAGGAAGGGACCTGAAAGAGGAAGGGGAGGAAGAGCTCCCAGCACAGAAAACAAGGATGCTGAGGAGGCCTGCTCATTGAAAATTGCTTGAAGAGCTGAGTCCAATCCTAATAATTAAGTTGGGCTGCGCTAGCCGGTTTGGCTCAGTGGATAGAGTGTCGGCCTGCGAACTGAAGTTTGATTCTGGACAAGGGCCCATGCCAGAGTTGTGGGCTCGATCCCCAGTGGGGGGCATGCAGGAGGCAGCCGAGCAATGATTCACTCTTATTGATGTTTCTATCTCTCTCTTCCTCTCTGAAATCAATAAATTTTTTTTTTATTTTAAAGCTGGGTCTAGTGCAAAGCCTAATTGTGGTAGCCAGCCTCCGGGATGGTCCCCTATGACTAGCAAGTGTTGGTATCCACACCCTTGTAAAGCCTTTTCCCACACTGAGCTGGGCTGGCATGTATAACCAGTGGGATATGCAGAAATGACGGAGCGTGACTTCCAAGGCCAGCTTATAAAAGTGCTTGAAGCCCTAACCGGTTTGGCTCAGTGGATAGAGTGTCGGTCTGTGGACTGAAGGGTCCCAGGTTCGATTCCGGTCAAGGGCATGTACCTTGGTTGCGGGCACATCCCCCGTAGGGGAGCGAGTGTGCAGGAGGAAGCTGATCGATGTTTCTCTCTCATCGATGTTTCTAACTCTCTATCCCTCTCCCTTCCTCTCTGTAAAAAATCAATAAAATATATTTTAAAAAGTGCTTGAAGTTTCCACCTTATTTTCTTTTGGGTCACTCACATTGGGGGAAGCCAAC